AATCTGGATGTTGCCATAGAGTAGAAAGATATGGCACCGTTTTTCGAACGTCACAATAAACCCTTTCGAAAAGGTTTATCTTTCGCAATATTTGATAAACGTTGCTAAAAGTTTCTCTTTTTACAATGTTTGATAAATGTTGCAAAAAAATAAAATAAAAAAATTGCAATACTAAATAAACTTTGAAAAAACATGACATTAGTAACATTCACTTAAAAAATGTTGTCAAATCTAAATTATTAACATAAATGACAACATTCACTTATTAGAATGTTGCAATAGATCATTTTAACAACGTTTAATTAATGAATAACATGCAAAAATGCATTTTTGTTGTAGTGATTTTTTAATAGAAAAAACGTGGTGTTTTTGGAAGAATTATAAATCGACACATTTTATCGGAAACTGACCTTCCCATTAATTTCCCAAGTTTTTCATGCTCTCTAATATGCTATAATAATTAAGATCAGGACCATTTCAGTGTAAAACTACAAACAAGTCAACATCTTTTTCTTTATTATTTTCCTATTCTACCCCACTTCAATATTATAATTTTCATCTGATTTTTTTTTTCCTATTTATTTACTTGGTATGAATAGCCCTTAACTAATCTAAATACCACAACTTATAAATGTAAGTATTATGCCCTAGGTTCAATCAACTTTAAATATAAATACTTTTATATGTAATTAATGCAATTAAATAGCAGATCTATTATTTAATTAATAGACAATTAAATAAATAATAGAGTCTGTAAGTTCAAATATTTGTAATTTGTTAATTACAAGAAGTTGTGATTGTGAGATACAAATTACATCTGATTGAATTTTAAATCATCCGTGGTCGTAAGTAATAACGAGATACGGATATCGTTATTACGGATAGACCATCACGTGTGTCATTTCTTACTTGTGAAGTAAGTAGTTGATCTCACAAGTTAAAGTGTGGTGATACTTAAATGAACACGTGAATGTTTTGCTATAGAACAAAACATTGGAGACCCCTCGAGAGATTCCACATGGATAACTATCTGAATGTCAGTGGTTAATCTCTAACGTTCGGTAGTGGAATTAGTCATTTGACTTGAGGTTGTCATGGTACCTTATATGAGGACAGTCATACTTTGGCGCTATTAGATGTTGCTCTGAAAAGGGCCGCTAATACGACATCGTTCGGGTACGTCAAAAATCGTATGAAGATTGTGATTGATCAATAAAGGATTCGTCGCTCTTAGATAGTAGGAGATTATGATCTGCGTTTCATTCAATTAAGTCAGTTTGAGAATGTCTAAAAAAATTTAGATTCATGCGAAAAGAATGTGTCTAAATAGATTAAAAGCTCTTATAAACTTTGCCTAATTTAAAGATAGAGTCTAAATAATATAAAATTCATGAAAATAGAAGAGAGAAGTTTAATAAGACTCACTACAACAAAAATAGTTTTTTGTAACGTTCAAAAATGTTGCTAAAGACTTTTAGCAACGTTTGACTGTATGTTGCAAATCTGGATGTTGCCATAGAGTAGAAAGATATGGCACCGTTTTTCGAACGTCACAATAAACCCTTTCGAAAAGGTTTATCTTTTGCAATATTTGATAAACGTTGCTAAAAGTTTCTCTTTTTACAATGTTTGATAAATGTTGCAAAAAAATAAAATAAAAAAATTGCAATACTAAATAAACTTTGAAAAAACATGACATTAGTAACATTCACTTAAAAAATGTCGTCAAATCTAAATTATTAACATAAATGACAACATTCACTTATTAGAATGTTGCAATAGATCATTTTAACAACGTTTAATTAATGAATAACATGCAAAAAGGCATTTTTGTTGTAGTGATTTTTTAATAGAAAAAACGTGGTGTTTTTGGAAGAATTATAAATCCACACATTTTATCGGAAACTGACGTTCCCATTAATTTCCCAAGTTTTTCATGCTCTCTAATATGCTATAATAATTAAGATCAGGACCATTTCAGAGTAAAACTACAAACAAGTCAACATCTTTTTCTTTATTATTTTCCTATTCTACCCCACTTCAATATTATAATTTTCATCTGATTTTTTTTTTTTCCCTTTTTATTTACTTGGTATGAATAGCCCTTAACTAATCTAAATACCACAACTTATAAATAGTGACCAAAGAGGAATAGTAAAGCCTACAAAATGTATAAAATAATAAATGAATTTATTTATGAATGCGTAGTTGAGTGCTGAAACTTACAATCCATTAAGTACAATTATTAAGATATAAAACATATAGAGTGAATTCTCCACCTAAAAAAGTTAAATTAAAAAACCTATTAAAACTTAATTTCAAGAGTTAACTTTTCAAAATAGAGAACATCTCTATGATATAATCTTAGCCATGAAGATCATGTGATTGGTGCCCCATGATCTGAAATGATTTTAACTTATATTCTTAAATATTTTTCTAATAAATAAGTAAATTAGATTTATCTACTATTTTTTTCTTTTATATTGTATGAGCAACAATCAAGAAGACTCTTTCCCGCATTATGCTTGATATTATAAATCACGTTTATTTGAAATTGAATCGGATACTTCTATTGAGAGAAAAGAAGTTGGTAGTTCAAGTCATGGCCTATAGGAGATACTATCGGCATGTAATTTATCATAATATTTAAGTTAAGTAGTTCATATTGGCAAAAAATGCTATTTGTTAGTTCTATAAAATCTAAGTCTGTATATATCAGAACAACTTAGAAGGAGATTGAATACATCTTGATATAGCTCGTAAAAGGCATAATTAATTATTTTACACCGGAAAAATAGGTTTAGGTTTGCTAAGAAAAGTGTTTATGATCATGACAGAAAGACTAGGCAATTTTCAAGTTTAATGCCCTAATTTACAAATTTTAGCTACCTTGTACAGGAAAAAGCACAAATAAATCAACATCTCTTTACTTTTCTTTTGCTTTATCTACCGCATTCCTATTTTTAATAATTGTATTTTGAAAAAGTTTACTCTTTTCTCTTTTTATATGTTTATTTGATATGATATGATGAGCTCAAACTAATCTTAGCGCAACAATAATTTCTTGTGTAAAAGTTTTTGGTGGAGCTAGCACACACTGCAACATTAAGAAGTATGACTCCTATATGCATAACATTGTAAAATAACTATTTCTTTTTTAATTCACTTTTATTTTTTAAGTTATAAAGCATTAGTAGCTAGTTCTAGTTTCTAGTTATCATGAATATGTATTGAAAAGCTAATGTTTCATACTTTCGTTACAAAGCTATTTAATAGCCATCATAAAAATTAGAAGTTTGCCGTCATTTAAAAGAGTAATGTTATCTAATTTAATGGATATGTAAGTTAGTCTAAGTAATAAATATGTTGTATAAATGATCAATTAAAGCCGATTTAACGAATACCTATAACATTCTCCACCCTTTCATTTACTCCTTAGTTTTCTTGACTGGAAATAGTTCTCAAGAAGAACATGTACTAATTAATAAAAGACTGTAAAATAAGTGAAACAAAAAAGAAGTTAGGTATATAAGTTAAAAAATGAGTAGTTGGGGACTTCCAATACGATTAAAATTTGTTGCAACAAACAAAAATTGGGGGTCAATACAATCTCCCAAAATTTGTTGTATTCATTTTCCTTGAATATCAACTCAAGTGAACTCATAATTATCCGCACATTTTAAATATTGTTGATTACATATATATACATAGACAGATAACAAGAAAAGGAATTTTGGAGTTCTTTAATCAAT